GACCTCAAGAAGTGGGGACCTTGTCCAAAATCATAAAGCTAGGTTAAGTTAAATGGCGAATCAGGATTCATATCATTTCTCAGTGACCTGAAACCCTATATCCTCTCTATACCATGGTACTTGAGATAACGTCAGCATTCTCCCTTATCAGTGGAGATGGGCCTGGCTAGAGTCAGCAGTGTAAACAAGGAAAAGAAAGCACAGCCCAGAGAAAGACAGGGAGAAAGGAGATCTATTTTCACAGAATGTGCCTAACCTATTGTTGTGGAGTTGATTCTGACTCATAGCAATCCTATTCTAGAGAATTTGGAAACAAGCTCCAGTGCATAAATCTATAAATTTTACAGAGATATGACTCAGGCTACTAAATATATTCTTGCAGATTAATTTATAGCCTACACTTTAAAGAATATTTATTCTCCCAATTCTGATTTTACCTTTTCCTCTATTCCGACTTGGAGTCTTTTTCATCATTTTAATATTTTAAAAGAGTCTGAGCTAGAACATTTATAGAAACCAACCAAGTCCCCACTGTCATTTTACAGATAAGGGAACTGAAGTCCAAGAGGTAAAGACCATCAGAAAATCTTTCAGGGGGGGCTACTGTTACTCTGTTTGGATCTTCCCAACAAAATGCAGACATGATTTCCCAGGCAGGGGTGCTTCCAAATTCTGCGGCCTGTCTAGAAACTTACATCATCCTGTTTTGCTTTGGGCTTGATGATGCTGGATTTATTGATTTATTCATTTGTGTGACAAAGAAGCCAAGCATTCAAAAGGGTCAAATTTGCATTCAACTAAATAAACATTAATCCAACAGTACCACAGTGTACGCTGGGGATAAAAAGGGATAAGCCACATTCCCACAGTCTAGAGGCAGAGATGTATTCACGAAGAGTTCCTGGGACAGGAGTTATTAGTTCTGCTATGGGTGTACACAGAAAAAAAAAAAACAATCATTTTTATTTTTTGTTTGTAATTAGGCATTCCCTACAAAACTTAATGCTTAATTGTTCTGTATATATTTCAGTTCAATGTGTAGCTATCATTCATCAAGGTTTAGGAAAAAAGGGGTGAATGGGTGATCCTATACTCCCGCCACTGGGACCAACTGCTTCATTAAAAACATCTGAAAATATTTCTAAAAAAATTGCCTTAACAATAGATAAGTGGTATCTTGGGTGAAGGGTGAGACAGTACACAATACAGGGGAAACCAGCACAACTTGTACAAGGAAAGGTCATGGAAGC